TGATATCACCCGTGCTTATGTAGGGGGAGCTTTCGCTCTCTTATTCTTTTGTTCCTTTTTGATGTTGGTCAAAGGGGGAGAAATATTGTGAAGTATATTCTTTTTGTTTATATGCATGATATATTATACACTTGATGTTCATTCCTTTCATGCATATATCCTTTTTGTAAATGTTTTGTCATCATCAAAGGGGGAAGATTGTTGGCCTTCTTTTTTGATGATGTTTAACAACAATTTACCACTAATGTGTTTGTCTAGTATTTGTGTTTTCGTATTTATTGTAGACAAACAACGTTGTTGGAGGATGGATGGAATAGAGGCTTCAACGATAGATATCCAAAGGAGGTTGGCGGAATGTCGGGGTTGAAGCCTATGCAATTCAAGTTGAAGATCCAAGTTCAGCTTCATCCGCAGCGTGTACCGAGTTGAGGCTACAATGAAGAATCAAGATCAAGCTTGGGTAATCTAGTTTAGATTTATCATATGTGTGTTAAGTACTCTAAGCTCAATTATCTATAGCACAGCACATTTTAATTGTTTTCCTTGTATATATATGTGTCACATATATATACAACATAAGTTTAGTTTTCATGTTTGTAAATATGAAATTACATGTTTCATATTTATTTGTGATTTGGTTTATGCTACTTAGATATGAAACAAATATATTTTCATATACATACTCATAGTTTCATTTTCTATTGTATTTATTGCATAGAATATGCAATTTTGTGAAAAATATATTCTTAGCTTTTATCTTAACAATAATCATATACATACTTTTATCAAGTCTATATAATCATTGTGCAAAGTTTCAAAACATTATTTATGTCAAAACATCAAACTTCATGTATATTACTTTTTTCCATGTTTGAACACTTTTGCAAATAATGAGATTTCACAATTGGGAAATGCAAATTGAAAATTCTTTTTGTAACATGTTCAATATATCATTTGCAAACATTTCTCAAAGTTTCATCAAGTTTGGAATTGATTTGTTATGTTTAAAGGAATTTACAAATTCA